GGGATACCGGCGCGGTAGCTGTGGACGACGTCGCCAGCCCGAATACCATCAGCTGCAATGATGTATGACTTCTTTCCTGTCGCCTTTTCGCTCAGGAGAGCAATATGGGCACTCCGCCCAGGATCATACTCGATTCTCTCTACCAGATGGGGTCCTGGGACCCTGCGCTCGAAATCGACAACCCGAATTCTCCTCTTGGCACCACCTCCTCGATGCCTGACAGTGATCCTTCCGGAAGCGTTTCGTCCACCTTTCGATTGACCTTTCTTCGGGTATGTGAGCGGAAGGAAGGGGCGGCCCTTCCATAAATGGTCGTTAATCGGACGCCTCAGATGCCGCACACCGGGTGTACGGGGCTTGTAGGTCCGGATGACGGCAGAGCCACCATTTGCGCCCTTTGATTGTGATGCATCGCCTAGCTTTGCGAGTTTCGCTTCGATTTTGGCTTTGGACTTGGCCGACTTCTTCGTTGCGTACGTTCGAAATTGGAGCTGGAAGGGGTTCAGCGTCAAGCGCTGAAACGCCCTTTGAGCAAAGGCCAGCTGTTGCCACGGCTGGAACATCCCGGGCCTCGTCCTCGGTTCTGTGAAGGAGAAGAATTGGTCAATTGGTCTCCTTGGAAGTGTCAAGTGAAGCCAGTGGGTGCTCAAGAAGCCTCATGTGGAACCTGATGTAGGTTCTTTCCGTTGACCAGCTACCCAAGGATCCTGCTCAGATCTCAATTGTCACTTACCTCCAATGGGCCTGCACTGAGGCTATTCTGGCACGACGATTGTCGTCGATTCTCTACGACACGACTCCTGATGCCAGTCGTAGTGCGGTGCGCCGATATCCCACTCCAATCTGGTGAGCTGTGAAATTTCCAACGGCATCATGGGGAAACATTGAGCCGGAGCAGGACAGTGGGGCATTGGAGCCTGTGGCTAGTGAGCAAGACTGAGCCACAGAACCGATGGGTCAAACGGCGCGACGAGCCACAGCCGGCGGGTGCACCGTCGCGACACTGATGCTTGGCGCATTGGTCAGCCGATAGCCAATTAGATCGCCGTTGCTCTGCGGTTGCGACTGTTGTCATTGTCATTCTGGAGCATAAAAGTGGGTATATGTGGGGAGCTGCGGTACGTACCCTGCTTGTTGCCCTGTTCTCGCGATTTGGGCATTCTTGATACCTCGTTTTTGGAAGCACAAGCAAGGCAAGTCGCGTTCTTATGCTGTGCACACATCCTGTGGAATATACTAGTGTGCTGCATAGCAACGAGCACTCGAGTTGTTATTCTGCAATTGCTTCCAGACATTATTCCATCTGTCTCTTATTGTATCATCTGTTCTTGTTCAAGATCCAATCCACGCCACAGTCAAAGCCTGGAGGCAAACCATCAGTGTCTCATCAAAACTCCCTTGGCTTTGATTTGTGGGCTATAGGATTATATGCTTTCATCCAATCAGTTTGCCTGGGCCTGTTCGAAAACACGGCCTCGTCTAATAATCTGGGTCTCCTCCTAGTGTGGGACAAGGGGAATTGACGTAGCAACGACCCAGCCTCACATTTCACGAACCGCGCTTTTTGACGCCAGAGGTACGTACCTCGTGCCCGCGCTTCACGTCCCTCCCCTGCTCCAAGCTCCGCTCCTCAAAACACTTTCTCACAGCAGCTGTCACCAGTCCTCTTCAACATAAACACCTCGCGCTGGACTCGAGTCTCTTGTCTTGTTGACCTTTCTCTCTCTACGACTTCTTGTCTACTCTACTCCTCTCTTCAACAAGACACCAGCACACAGAGGCACCACACAACACGTATAGCCACATCGACTCATCCACCTCATTGTCTCACCATTCCAACGCGAAGTGTGCCCGCCCTTCATTATCTTTGCACCAGAGGTAAGTGACGGGAATCTTCTTTTGATTCACTTGTCTTAGCCCTGTCTAAGCTATATTCTTCCCTTCCTCGACTCGATCTGCTAAATTCGACAAACCACCCCCATCTTGCTCTTTTTTTCACCTTATATCAAACACGCGCTGACCGTGTAGGCAATCCGACCTAGGCATTGAACACGACATAACCAGCACAGTCATACTGCAAATATGCCTCCTGTAAGAACACGCTCTTCTAAGACGTTGGGAAACCACCTCGCGTGATCAATGCTAACGAATATGCTCTCTCGTAGGGACGCCCCACAGCCGCTCGCCAACGCCTTGTGGCCCAAGAGAACGACGAGAACAGCACTTCAACGCGTTTAACACGAGCCAAGGCCGCTGCTCTTACCGTTGATGAATTGTCCATGCCTTCCAAGACGGCCCTCCAAACAAAGAAGACCACGACCAACGCGACAACTGCAGCTGGAACACGAAGACGCGCCGCGTTGGGTGATGTCAGCAATGTAGGCAAGAATGATGTCGTCGAGGGCAAGAAGCCCGCTGCGGGCAAGGCGAGTCTAGTTTCCAAGACTGCTCAACCTTCGCGTATCCAGAAGACCACACGTCCTAGCAGCCGCGTCGCGTTAGCCGCCAAGGAGAACAAGCCCGCCGTCGAGCCCAAGAGGAACGGTTCCGGATCTGGTACCATCAAGAGAAAGAACGTATCTACGTCCAACAACCGGGAGGAATCCGTCACAACAGACGAGGCCGAACTTACCCGAAAGAAGACAAACGGTCCTGACTCCGAAAAGCGACAGAAGATTGAGAAGGCCGAGCCAGCTCCTGTTGAAGCACGACCCATTCCCGAGGGTGCCCTCATCCTCGATGGCGAAGATGTTGACGACCCTCTCATGGTCGCCGAGTACGCCACAGAAATTTTCGAGTACTTGCGGGACCTTGAGGTCTCCTCCGTCCCCAACCCTCAGTACATGTACCACCAAGACGATCTCGAGTGGAAGACGCGCGGTATTCTCATCGACTGGCTCATTGAAGTCCACACCCGCTTCCACCTTCTCCCCGAGACACTCTTCCTCGCCATCAACATCATTGACCGTTTCCTGTCAGAGAAGGTCGTTCAGCTCGACCGACTTCAGTTGGTTGGTATCACGGCCATGTTTATTGCATCCAAGTACGAAGAAGTTCTATCGCCACACGTTGAGAATTTCAAGCGCATCACCGATGATGGCTTTAGCGAGGCTGAGATTCTAAGCGCGGAACGCTTCATTCTAAGCACACTCAACTACGATCTCAGCTACCCCAACCCCATGAACTTCCTCCGCCGGGTATCAAAGGCAGACAACTACGACATCCAGACCCGCACTGTCGGCAAGTACCTGATGGAGATCAGCTTGCTCGACCACCGCTTCCTCGCCTACCGCCCCAGCCACGTTGCCGCAGGTGCCATGTACTTGGCCCGTCTAATGCTTGACCGTGGTGAATGGGTAAGTCGATATTGATACTTGTTGATTGCTTTCGTGACTGACCAGAAATTTAGGATGAGACACTTGCTTACTATGCTGGCTACACCGAGATGGAGGTTGAGCCCGTGGTTCACCTCATGGTGGACTATCTCGCCCGTCCAGTCTGCCACGAAGCCTTCTTCAAGAAGTATGCGAGCAAAAAGTTCCTCAAGGGTATGTAACGCGATATTATGCCAATGGGGATGTAACCAGCTAACATTATTAAAGCTTCGATCCTTGCACGAACCTGGGCAAAGAAGAGCGCTGCCGCCTTTGGCCTGACAGATCTCGACCTGAGCCTTGATCAAATCTCATGAGTGTGTTGAATACTAGACAGCATGGTCCTTGCGTTGGGACATGATACATATACGTCTAGAATCCTGGATACAGCAACGCGCGGTTGGATCGCAGAACGTTGATGCCACGCTACGATACAGTCCAAATCCAACCTCACCACGGCCCGGTTAGCATGCTCTGGTCTCAAAAGCCATCCGCGGCGGTTGGATCATGGGTCGCCGAGACTTCACCTTCGTCACCCACCCCCGTTCACATATTCCGCACTCTAATATCTGACAACTCCTCGCTCGGCGATTCAACGGGCTCAGCACTCGATCCAACCACCCTTTCTTTTTGAGAGTCTCACTTTTTGTTGTTGTTTAAAATGCATTTGGCGCATGGAGTCACGGGCGAAAGCAGGCGTAGGATATTTGGTTTATTGACTGGGCGGCACCCAGCTTCCCGATTGGAGGACACGAGTCACAGTATATGGTATGGAAGACCAAGATTTCCGATCTTGGTGGGTGAAAACCTCGTCCCATCCCGGGCTGGGCTTGGGATAAAGGGCATCCGGCAGGGCACTAGCTCTGGGTGACTCCTGTCAGGCAACCCGTGGAAGGAAACTGTAGATGCATATATCATGACGGGATTATCGGTAGTTACTGTGTGAAGAGTAGAGAATTGCATTGCGTGGAATCACATATTATCATGGCTTTTGAATAATAGACTAGGCACTCTGAAAGTGCGCTGGACAGTGTAATAACATGATTGGATTATCCTCGTATGGTTTGTTGTTTTTCCTGACTTGAATAATAACAACACGCGTGTTATGGTGCTGCATTGTGATGATGGCCTGTGTAGTTGGCCGGTCCACTCTATATCAACAACATTCTCGAGTCTTTGTCCTTGCAACATGTTCTGGGACTCGTTCAATGGTGCATTGGCGGGCAGCTCTGTACTAACTGTAGGTTAGGTAGCCTCCATTGAACGTGCATCCATTGAACACTGGCTGGGTCCCAGGCATGGGGGGCACTGGGACCCCCTAGCACACCCTGTAGCCCCAAAATCAGGCGCATTGGCTGCTGTCGTCAACTGCATCCAGCGACTTCAATTGACTTCATCTTGCCTCGCAGTTTTTTCCAGGGCGGCGCATCGATTCTACAGCAGGTGAGTACGTACAACAATGGATGCATGTGCTCAAACCTTCATATACACCTTCCCTTAACTTACCTCGCACTGCAGCGACCTGCATGTCTCAGGTCCAATTCTTGTCTCTGCAATGGATATCCATCCCAGCCTACCAAGCCCACCTCATCTTAACCTCACCTCCCAATTGATACATTGCCCGTCATGTCACTGACACAGAGGAACGCAGGCAAGGATAAGGACATGGCACCGCTTCTCAGGCCGCGGCAGAGCCTGTCGGCGGAGCGGTTCTCGCCCTACTTCACCGTGCTCAAGAGCCAGCCGTACAACGATCCCAACTCTAGGACGGGAGGGTCGAACAAGTGAGTCGGCTCACGGCGTCTGCCTTTGTCTTGAGCAATGCGCGCGCGCCCCTCCGATGTGAACAAATGCGCCTGCTAACATACCCTCTCACAGCTTGCGCTCGATTGCATGGAATCCTGTAGGGACGCTGGTCGCCACCGGGTCTACCGATAAGACCTTGCGGGTTTGTGAGTTTCAATTCCTCGGGATTGTCATCTTCAATGCGCTGACAAGGTCGCCATAGGGAACCCGGAGAAGCCTCACATCAAGTTCTCAACTGAGCTGAAAGGCCACCTGGGATCGGTGGAGAAGGTCGCCTTCAACCCTACCAAGGACGCTGAGCTCTGCAGCATCAGCAGCGACGGGGTCGCCAAGTTCTGGGACGTGAGGACCAAGGCCTGCTTCAACGAGGTCAAGGGGCTGGGGGAGGCCTTCACATTGGCATGGGCGCCGGACGGTCAGACGCTGATTGTGGGCAACAAGGTAAGGACGTTCTTCTCCGTGCCTGGTTTCCCGTCCCAATCTCTCGATTCTCCCTGGCCAGGGAGCGATGCAGGGAGGTTGGCTTCTTTGGAACAGCATCATTTCCGTCAATAACCATTGAATCACACGCTGACGCGCTTTGGCCTCTCTCTCCTACAGGATGACAATATCTTTGTCCTTTCCCCCACATCGCCTACCCCCTTGGCATCTCATCAGCAGTCCATACAGACGAATCAGATCGCCTTCTGCTGGAGTGGAGAGAAGATATTCTTGACCACCAGCGAGGGGCACATCCGCATTCTGTCCTATCCCAACTTCGAACCAGTCCTACGGGTCGCGTACGGCGACAACGAGGAGTTCCAACTAAACGGGCACACGTCATCATGCCTCACGGCTGAGCTCCAGCCCACGGGGCGGTACCTGGCGACTGGAGGCTCCGACTCGATCATTGCGCTCTGGGACACGCGCCGATGGCTCTGTCAAAGGACGATCACGACCATGGTCGGGCCGGTGAGAAGTATCAGTATGTACCCCCCCTATTCGTCTTGTGTACTTCCACATTGTGTTCAAAGCGCTAACCGACGTCAGGCTTCACATTCGACGGCAGCTTCGTCGTGGGAGGCAGTGACGAGGGATCTGGCCTCGACGTGACGCACACGGAGACGGGAGAGAAGATCCACACCTTTAAGACGGCGGGATCGTGCCCGGTGGTGGCGTGGGCGCCTACGAGGTACTGGCTTGCTTACAGCGACCTGGGGGTCTTGCGGATCATCGGCATAGATGATAAAAAGTAGCGTTATTTTGTGAATCTGGGGAGAGTGGGAATTTTGTCCTTGTTCTGTCGCTCTGCTATTTATACGGCATTGTTTCTAGAGTGTCCTTTGCTAATCTCTCTCACCAGGTTGTGCGGAGAGCATAGTATGTTTTACGAGATCCCTTTTATGATCTGAATCTATATCCCCCGTTGTTCTGTTATGTTTGATAGTTGCTGTGACGAAACTTAAAGAAGAACCGTTGGGGTCGGTGTGAGACTCGCCTTGGCCTCTGCCGAGCGGGGATCAGCGAGAACACCCCGCCTATCCTCCGCCCGCCTCCGCGATGGTTGCACGTTTTGGAGAGGAAGGGCGTGATGTCCTGGGTTCATGAGGGGCCCATAAAGGCGGCCGCCGGGGCTGGCTGCGTTCCATGTAAGCCCGGGAGAACTCAGCACCGACAGACTGGAGAACTTGGGCGCATCTAGATGGGGTGGCGGCTGGGCGGGCTTTTCAGCCGAGGCGGGACAAGGATCGATGGGTAGGACTGCCAGTTGATGAATTGTATACGTGAATTGAGTTGTGATTGCGTGACAAAATGACATCACATATTCGAGGTCTCGGTAGTTTTCAAGGCAGATTCAGATAAACGTTTATTGATAGACTATGAATATTGGTTGTGGGGAATTCGTATAAGCCGTATAATGAGCCTAAGGATCGGGGAATTTGAAGTAGGAGGCCTCAATGTTGTTCTAGCGGTGTCCTTTGTTACCAACATGAGTTGCGATGCAGACTTAGCATAGTCCCTGATCCTCATTCTAAGAAGAACGGTAGTGGTGGAGGTTGTCTGGACGTCCAAGTCAAATGGCGGTTAATTATAGACCGCCCACTCTCCAGGCATTGATCATTTTCTGAATGCGGTAGCTTTGCAGCCAGGGTAAAGAGAAGGCAGGCAATAATGTCACCCAAATGTCGGGAGGCGTTGCTCGGCACTCCTAAGCGACCCCGATGTCCTGGGACAGGGACATCACGACAGGCCCGGTATGGGGGGTCAGATGTAACGCTGTGCGACTCGAGATGGGTAGCCGGTGTAAGAGGAGATCTAGCAACAGGTAGTGCGTAAACTCAAAGTAACGCCACGGAGGATCAAAAGAGGATAGGGTCGATCATGCTCGTACAAATGGCGAGATGCGAGATGCGAGCTTAGAGCATAGATCATCGTTCTCAGCAATGGGTTTGCGCCGCCTGCATACACGTGGCCAAGGCGAGCTGGACAGGAGGCTGATGGGCACATGGCAGATAGAAGATCATTTCCTTCAACTTAGGCGAGTTCTGCAGAGGGCAGGTGAAGAGTAAGAGTATCGCCCTACACCACCACCTCACGCCTGGGGATCTCTCATGTGGGCATGCGGAACGGCATTTGAGGAGGTGGTGACAGTCAGTCAGCAAGTCTGACATGCGTCCGCCGTGTCTGTATTAGGAAGATAGATGGCCGTTTCTAGAGTGATGGATACAACGGTTTGCTGCATTCGTTCTGGACAAGGGTCCGCACGGTTCGGGTGATGGATTACCATGAGCCAGGAGCTCTGGACATGATGTTGTACGCGCAAGCTGCAGGCGGCCCAAGGGAATGGCAAGAGTAGCAATGGTGACCCAAAGAGCCAACCTTAATAAAGGGCCGGGGTGGCTCAGTGAGGTCAAGGGGTGTGAGTTGAAATGTAACCTCCTCTCAGTCTTTATTCCGACCAGTTTCCTCTAATTGTTAGCTACCTTATCCACTTTCTCCGTATTCACAGGTTCAACGAGAACGGCTGAGAGCTTGGTGGCTAGGAGGTGGGTACATCTCCAATGCATCTTGTCAACATGTTCATCATCTAGAAGTGTTGCCTGTGTCGCTTTTGCACCCACCAGAGACGCCATCTCCTCCGCTAGTTCGGCAAGAGAACCATATTGACCCTTCCAGCATCGGTCAATGATTCGATCTAGATGTCCATCTGATAGCGGGGGAAATATCTTCTCCTGTAAAAGAAGAACAGCGCCTGGAGGATCTTCTTCGTACAACACGATGCCACGGGTGATAGTGTAGAGAATGACACCGAAAGTGAACTGCTCGCTTTCCGCTCCGTAAACTCCATAGGTTCCCCGTTTAAGGCCAGCCTCAGGTCCAAGCATTCGTGACCAGGGGGGTGCACTCCCTTGGTGGTCAGACCCGATATCAGAGGCACAGTCGAAATCCGCCAGTTTTAGGTGATCCTGGTAATCCAAGAGAATGTTGGCAGGTCGTAAATCTCCGTGAGCCAGGCCGATTGAGGCCAGCCAAGAAATAGCCCCAGATAGCTCCATTGCCCACTGTTCAATCTTTTGCGTTGGCTCCAACTTCAACACTTCGAGGCATCTCGCTTTCTGGTAGTCGCGGCGCTGGTTGTCGTTGATACGTTGATCAAGGGTGCCTGCCATTAGAGGCATGAAGTTGATCCCCGGGAGTCTGAGAAAGCTTTGTAGCAGAGTGGGAGGAGCTCTATGCTCTTCGAGAAGGTCGTAGATTGCGTTTTCCTTTTGGAACTCGTCCAGGCGGTCCTTTCTTGTGTATTTCAGGGCTATTTCATCGTCTATCTGGAAAACCCATCCAGTTGCGCCTCGGGAAATAACATCAAAGGAGTGGAGGCACGAAGGCAGCTCCGAATACATTTTGTGAAGCTGTGAACGAAAGTATGTTGTGGTTGGGATAGATTTTTCAAGGTTGCAAAAGAAAGTGAAAGTAGGCAACCGAATGGGCACATAAATGCAGCTACACACATAACAAGGCAGGCACAAATTAGGCCTTTAAGCAGGCAGGTACGAACGCTGAAACTCGGCAAAGCCTCGGTGCGTACATTCTTCCAATTCGTTACTCGGGTACTGGGTAATTCAGTTGTTTCCAGCAGCAGCAGCCGCCGCCTCTGCCGATTGTTTGGTCATCCACTGGCCATCATACCGAACCCACGCACAGCTCTGCACACAGCCATCACAGGGAGATTTCAAAGTGGTTCCTCCCAGGTGGCTGGTATACTGGATCTTCCCGCATTTACCACAGCCGCGGTATGGGATGACCATTGGCGGCTCGTTCCCCAAATGTCCACATCGATACATTCGCTGAGTGATGAGCTTTTGGCACATATTGATTATTTCTCGAAGGATATTTGCTGTAACAAATTCATGTTAGTGGTTCGCCGGTACTCAAGTCTTTGAACAAAATTGTCAACATACTCTAAAATTCTTCGAGACTGTTAGCTCGGATAGACTGGAGATGATTTGTGCTTAAACTTGACAATGGATAAGTGGTTAAGAGTTAGACTGGGTTGGAGAGGATTGAAAATTCCAAGTCGATGATATCTTCTGAGAATTCGGTCTTCTTATACATATTCGCGGCAGGGATTCAGAGATGCAAGCACGTCGGTTTGGCTGCTGTTGGCACAGTGAGTCAACATATCAGACGCATCACTTGATCTCACGCCTTGATTTATCATCTTTCTTTCTTGCAAGCAAGGCAACCTTCTTCTTGATTGACTGATCGGGTCATGAGGTGAAGAACTGGCAAACTGCGCGACCTCACTTCACCCAACCCGTGCCCTCCGTCTAGGGTTTCAAAAACATTGGAAGCAGCCGAGAACAAAAGGAAATGGAGGCCGGCTGACGTCATGTCATCGGTTTCCTTCTTGTCGCTATTGAACTCATTTCAGACTGAGTCAAGGATATATTGCGTAAAGGAGAAACAGCCTGCTGGTTGATGCCACTACAAGGCTAGATTCTTACCTATAACGGCGTAGAAGCTCTCAGCCAACATTTCTCCAAGGCTGCCAAGTCAACAGCACTCCCCCAGGAGGGACTTGTGAACACCCCGCACTGGGTTCCCCCCAGACAGGTATGCACATGTATGTGTGCTGCTTGAGGCACGGATTGCTAAGTGCGGGGACACGGGCACACCTCAGCTCGCACCACATCTGTGTTGGGCATGTATGCTCTGCGGTGGGCACGAATTCTCAACCTCATAGGGAGCGACTGCCGATGCACAAGGATGTCAATTCGTAAGCACTAACCACGGTGGAATGAGGGTGTCACTTGGCAGGGGCGAGCGCTTGAGGACCACCGCGGCTTCGTGACGTTGGGGATTCTGCCTCGGATATTCCAATAACTCTGGCCCAATAAATCACGATCGACGCCGTTGTTAAGCGCTTGTGTACGCCTACACAACGTAGGAGTCTTTCGGCCTAGGAGGTTGCTAATGATGCTGATGGGCCACTAATCAAGAGGCCCAAAGGTTGGGTTAAGACGCCACTGTAAACACAAGAGCACTCGATGCCATTCTCGCTGATTCAATATATGGCTGAGGTTTTATATCTCAAGCAGTGTCAAACTTCCCTGTTTTCGTCAGCCACAGGGCGATAAGTGCCAGCCGCAGGCGAATATACAATCGCGATTGGGGTGATGCCAGCCATTTATTCGCTGTGGTGAGCCAACAACTAACACGCCTGTTGCTGTTTATGGCTCAGCTCAATATACCCTCATAAGAGCTGGGAGTCGGTCGGAAACCCTCTTGTTGGCCTCCCTGCGGGCATTCTGCCAATTCTCGATATGCCTCAGTAATCGAGACTTGGCTTGAGTAGCGACGGTTGGCCTCGGATGAATTGAGATGAGAAGTCTAAACAGGCCGAAAACCCCACATGCAGACCTTGATCAATGGTGGTCCAGATGCAGCTCCCAAAGGCTTGGCCATCAGGGGTTTGAATCTGTAATCAAGGCTCGGGTGTAGATAACCAGGAAAACTCGTGTGACAAAGCCCCAGCTAAGCGTGGCGATTTTGAGGTGAAAAAGGATCACAAGGCGACGAACTAGGTATCTCGAGAGAGGAATCCTCGAAAGCTTGAGAGAGGCGAGCCTCGGGGGAAAAGTATGCGGATCGCGGTTTGTGTAACCGTGCTGATCCTGGGAGCTATCTTCTACCTGCCTTGGCTACCCTGGAACTTTTGGCCGCGAAGGAGATGGATATAAATACCCACCATTACCAAGTTAGACGCCCGGATTCTGCAGCGATATGCATATGTAGGTTAGCGGTTCGTTGGAAGACTAGGTACGTTCGGATTAAAATCAGTCCTTATTACTTGGGGCGTGTGTATGACGTGGTTATGGACGAATAGGCCATGGTAGTATAGCAAAGTAATACACCTGTCTCGGAAGGGACGGTCTCCTCTCCGGGCCAAACAATCTCGCCTAGAAATGATTTGAGGTCGGCACGGACACCAACTTGCCTTCCTACCCACCATCAATCCCCAATTGGTAGTCTTTACACCTCTTGCTCCGTAGAAGGGAGGTGAAGAGCAGTATAAGGATTCTCACATCCAATCTGGTTTGTGGTTTAGGGTAAGTAAAGATGTAGGAGCTGCCAGTAAGCTTGATATATAGCTGCTGTAAATGCATTCTACAATGGGCACGAAGTATACATACTAAACCGTGAGAGTAGCTGGGCGGGGTGAAGGGTTATTCTGGGTAGGGGGTTGGCTAACCCAGTGCAGTGCGATGTTGGTGAGGTATTACCATGAGCCAGGGCATACACGTAAAGCTGCAAGGAGTCGGACGAGTTTCGTCACCAGGCCGTGCCTGCACCAGGCACCTGCAAGCACGGCTGTAGCACCCCTAAAGTGTAGAACATCTGCAAGGAGAACACCTTTGCCTTCTAGCGTGGAAAAGATTTAGAGCTGGATTGATTAGGTATGTCGCAGGATAGCAGCTGAAGCGGAACAGTCTCGGCGATTCGGGCGTATCGCGAGAGGCGAGTCGGTCGTGATCCAAGGGAACGACAAGGCGACAGCGGTGACCCAAAGAGTCAGCCCTGTGCCAGAGAGTGATAGATGGATGGGTGGGATCAATTGGAGGTCTACAGGCGCCATGTGTGCCGCTGCAAATCCTTGTCCTGCTGGCCGCCAGATGCAGTTGTCATCGCCATCATGAGTGGATCAGCGCTGAGCTGAGTTGGAGTGGCACATGTATCCAGTACTCCCAGACACCATAGGAATGCCCCTCAGCTGACTGTACCAGAAACCCGTGGCCTTTCAATACCACTCACCTCCCGCCGTGCCATGCGCTAAGGCTCCCCTAGGTATGACAAGGATGGCACTGGCTGCGAGCCTAGGCGCCAGGGAAGTCGCGGGCAGTGGCACCTGCAGTCAGGTCAGCTAACAGCTGGGTGGAGGGCTTATTAATGATGTCCACCGGACCCATCCCCGTTGTCACTGCCGGTTGCTTGCCTCCAGGGTTTAGAAAGTCTAGCCTAGCTGCCTCAACATTTCCAGAGATCGATCCCTCCTTCTGGCGGGTCGCGATCAGATCCAACAGACAGAAAACGCTGCCGACACTGCGCCCGAGACTCGAGCTCCCTTGCGCCGTTGCCTCGCCTTTTGCTTTCTCCAAGGGATCCACCCCGGCTCCGAATCTCCCCTTGACATGCTTGAATGTCCGGCACGTACACCAACCTGTCCTCCTCCCTTCGCACCCAATTGCTGGTCCAACGTTCCTTGCGCCCATCTTTCTCGCCGAGCCCTCGCCACGATTTCCAAACAGATTGTATTCACGATTGCCGGATGATTGCCTGATACTCCCTTGCCTGTGCGCGGGAGCAGCTGCCCCTCCTCCACCGACCGAGCACCACCGATCTCGTCCACCGAGACATCTACTAACAGTCGTCCTGTCCGGCACTTGCCTACTCTCACACCCCGCCGCCGCTCCGTCCCTCTTGCGTCCCGATCTTGAAACACCATACTCCCTTACGTGCGTCATGCTTAGCTCTCCGGAAGAGTCTGCGGGCAATGCCCAGCAGAGCCAAATTGAAGTCGACGCCGCTCCCCGCGAACCCCCCATACCCGACAACTCCAATGTCCCCAAGCCAAAACGCTTAGCCTGCATGATATGCCGGAAACGAAAGCTCAAATGCGATGGCGTGAGACCCAGCTGTAGCACCTGTTCCCGCTTGGGACATATGTGCGCCTATGATGAACAGCGAAGGAAGAGCGGACCCAAGCGAGGTTATGTCAAGGCGTTGGAGGAGCGTCTGAGTAGGTTCCCATCTTCGCACATACTCACCTGGCTCGGTTCTGGATATTGATACTGAGACTACTTGTATAGAACAAGTGGAGACCCTCTTGAAGACCCAAGAGCCGCGTACTGTGGCAGCTACTGCTACAGCATCACAACAACCCAAGCCCATGAGCAGCCTCCCGATACACACTGGCCCTAGTCTGAATGTGCACACAGGCGTACCCAAACTGTCAATGCCGACAGATTTAGGTATGATGGGTGGGAATGACTGGGATGTGGATGGCGCCTTCAACACCAATGGCTCTCCCCAACAGCAGCAACAAGCACAACCCATGGACGAATTCAATTTCAATGCCACCATGGGCGTCAACATGAATAATGTTGGGGGGGAAGATTTCCCATGGGAAATGATTGGATTGGGGTTGGAGGAACCATTACCGACGCAGGACACGATTGACGAGCTTCACCAAGTTTACTTCGAGAAAGTCCACCCTTCAGTGCCTATGATTCATAGATACCGGTATCTCGCAGCCATGAATCTGTTCGTACTTCTCCATCACCCTATTTCCTATGACACACATACTGACTAGGCAACATAGCGCACCCCCTCGGCGTCCACCAGTATGCTTGAGATATGCCATGTGGACTTTGGCTTCCTCAATTTCTGAGAAGTACATGGGTATGCGAGACCTCTTCTATCAGAGAGCTCGCAAGTATGTTGAGGCAGACTATATCAAAGGCTACGGAGAGCATATGATTTCTGTGGCTCATTGCCAGGCACACATTCTCCTATCATGCTATGAGATGAGGATGATGTACTTTCCTCGTGCTTGGATCAATACAGGCTCAGCTATACGACTTGCCCAAATGTATGAAAATCCAAAAGAAAAACCTTATCATTGCCAAGATTTGTATTATCCTGGATATGGTTAACTGACTTCATGTAGGATTGGCTTACACCGACTCGATGGCACCGGGTTGGATGTAAAGCAGTGCTTACCTCCCCCGAAAGACTGGACGGAGCGTGAAGAACGAAGGCGCACATTTTGGATGGCGTTCTGCGAGGATCGTTATGCAAGCATAGGAACTGGCTGGCCAATGACGATAGACGAGAAGGATATTATGACAGACCTCCCTGCCTCGGATGAGGCTTACGACATGAGCCGACCCGAGCAGACGCTAAGCTTGCAAGACGCAACAGGTCCCCGTGGCGCCTCGAAACTCTCGCCGTTTGGTGCTGTGGTCCTCTTGGCGTCTCTTTTTGGCCGCAACCTCATCCACCTCCATCGTCCAGATGCCGATGATCTCGATAATGATTTGAATGGCCCATTTTGGAAGCGCCACCGAAATCTGGATAATATCATCCTCAACACATCTCTCTGCCTCCCACCACACCTCAAGTTACCAGAAGGCATCGCAAATCCCAACATCGTCTTTACCAATATGGCAATCCATACATCTACGATATGCCTTCACCAAGCTGCTATTTTCAAGGCTGAGAAGAATAAGCTCCCGGCTTCAGTTGGCGCCGAGAGCAAGGTTCGATGTATAACCGCTGCAAATGAGATTACCAGTATAATGAGGACTGTGTCGCACATGGATCTTGCATCTGTAAGTTGTGTCCCCCTTTCTCCATGTGGCTTAGCCATTCCTTTTAGTACATGCCTTTGAAGGAGATCATTAACCCCCCACAGATGAACCCTTTCATTTCCTTTTGCCTCTATGTTGCGGCTCGGGTCTTTGTACAATATCTTAAGAGTCGGCCTGATGATGGCCAATCCTCCGACTCGCTGCGGTTCCTATTGTCGGCAATGAATGCGTTGAAGAGACGGAATCCACTAACCGAGTCGTTCCTCGTCCAATTGGACGTGGACTTGGAAGCCCTCGCAGCTCGGATACCTAAGCTAAAAAATGCTTTCCTTCGAGGAAATGACACAGTAAGTTCTTGGAACAACGACTAATGTAACTGGGTGCAATTCTAACTCATCGTCTAATAGAACGGAGGGCAAAGCGGGAACCCTGCTAATGCACCTTGCAATAAGACAGATGGTTTGGGAGGTATGCAATCGTATAAATGCCATTTCCTGAAGCCAAAGGATGATGACGGGAACCCGGTGAATGCGCCCGATCTCGTTGACGCAATTCATAACACCGATACGATACACAACATCGAGGCAGTCACTTCAGCAGGTTTCAACTCACAGAACTGGTTATCGGCCGAACAATCCATGTCGGGGCTTACACCAACCTCAGCAGTAGTCGGAGGCTTACAAAGCATCGGAGGAAGCAGTGGCAGGGACAACCAAGCATCATCAGGTTCCCCAGATGGACAATCGAATGGCCCAACACCCAACTCAAGTACTGGGAGCGGGGCGACTCAAGATCCACGATCTCGTCTTGCTCCAGGGGCCATGGGTGGCTCTGGAGGGAACTCCTTTCAGGCGAGCCCCATATCTCCTCATCAAAATTTAATGTCTCAGGCCGACGCGAGCAACTTTTTCGGGGCTCATAGCGGATTCACAATGCCTTCAGGTATGAACGAACAACAGGGCAGCTTTGACCTGTCGAATGGCTGGGATGCCATGAATGGACAATCGGAGCTGCCCCCTCTTGGAGAGGGTGTTCTGAGAGCAATCATGGACATGGGCTCAATTGATGCCATGGATTTGACCCCCTGGGAGTCAACTAATGAGAATATGGGACGATGAACATGCATGGACTATACACACACAATACGTTTCGATCTTTCTGCTTTATTTTTTTCTACTCTAAGGATACCACCTCTCTCTTTTTTGACTGGGATTTTACAAGAAATAGACTTAGGCGGATCTCGGCTATTCATGGACAATGGCGTTATACTCACGGCGGACCAAGATCTACGCATTTGAATTCTTATACGTTCATTCCTTCCCTTGTTCGCTACTCTTCTTCAGGGAGCGGAGAAAGGTTGTATATTAGCATACGTCGACACACTTTTGGGGGGTGGCGATTGGACATGGAAACTCACGCTTGATGGTATATATTTGGATATTTTGGATGAGGGCATAGGAAACCCCGGTGATGGGATTAAGGGAGCGACGAGAGCATGAGACAATGCCATCTATTTAACTCTGTCGACGGTCATGTTGTTTCAAATTCCTGTGTGCGGGTGACTGGTGTATCGTAATACCTGAGATATGTATTTAACGAGCCGTGGGGCTTATGTGGCCCCGAATTCAATGCCGCCCTTCAAGCTCCTCACCACTCATAAAAGCAGCAAGACGAGCATCCTCGTCTCCGCTGGGGTTGTAAAAGCAGCACTCCCCAGTCCGGATCCGCCTCGAAAAGAGGGACTATGGCATCTCGGGAATCCTTTTCGGTGGCGGGACCCGGAGCCGGCCACGATCTCAACTCTGTCGCCGTGGGGCAGGCTTCCTACCGCGTCAACGTCAACGTCCCCGTTCATGGCCTTGATCTCAGCCTCGATGGCTACCCGGCCACGACTGCGCTGGACGACGCGTCGTCATTCGTACAGCAACATGCTCATGCCCATGCGCACCCGCAGCATCGCCAGCAGGCAGGGCACCCGTCCTTGCAGCAACAACACGGCCTTGGGCATAGCAATACCACCAACACAGCCGGCGGCGGCCAGTTTGGCATCTTGGCACCTGCCACAGTGCCGCACCATGACGCATTCGCCAGCGAGGCTGTCGGAGCCAGACTGGATGCCACCTCCGTAGGCAAAGGACCCGGCCACCTGCCCAGCAGGATGGTCATCGACCCCCCAGGCCTCGACGCGTGGCGGGAGCGCCTGTTCAACGTGGACGAGATGATCGTCCTCACCAACGAGCAGTTCGAGACGTACTTCCCCCACGTGGACAACGTGTACTCGCACCGCTCGACGCAGCGCTACAAGCGCAAGCCCTTCGTCTCCCACTACTGGGACTGCCGCATGAAGGGCCGCCCGCCGGGGACGCCCAAGTCGGACGACCCCAACAAGAAGAAGCGCAAGAGGACGGCGCGGGAGCGCGACCTGTGCGACGTCAAGATCAAGATCACCGAGTACGCGCCGGGGGCCCAGATCATGCTCGACTCGGGATCCGGCGACACCTCGTTCATGCCGCCGCCCGTCGACGTCGGGACCGGGCAGCGGTTCTGGACCATCCAGAGGGTTAATGGCAACGGGGGTAACGGTAAGGGCGACGGCGTTGCGGGCCCCCACAGGCACACGCTGGCGAAGAGCGACGAGATCAAGAAGAATAGCATCCAGCGGTACCTCGCGCAGCAGGAGAAGGAGGTGAAGAAGAGCCAGAAGCCGCCGCAGCATAGAGCCACTGGGGCGGCTATGGCTACGATACGGAAACATAACAAGGATAGCGCTTTGAAGCTGTATTCGGCTTGTTTCTGGTAGGTCTTCACCGCTGGCGTGGCATTTTCATGGACTGGGAAAGCTGATATCCAATAGCCCGTTTTCTCAAAGAGTATGGATTGCCCTCGAGGCAAAGGGCATTGCCTACCAGTACTGTGAGATTAACCCCTACAACAGACCAGCTCCAGCAGCTTTCCTCGAAGGAAATCCATCAGGACGTGTGCCTACTATTCGGCAGGGTGACTGGACCTGTGCTGAGAGTGGCATTATATTAGAATACGTGAGTCCATCTAGTTTTAGATGCTGGATGCTTTACTAAATACACTCCTGATCACATAGCTCGAGGACACTGACGCGAGCATCCCGCTTCACCCAACGGATCCTAAACAAAAGGCGGATTCTCGAGTGTGGATGCAATTGATCGACTCGGATATTGTCCCATCCTTTTTCAATCTTCTGAGAGCAAACGATCTGGCCTTGCAGGCAGAGGCTACTGACCAGCTTCAGAGCGCGATTGCGCGACTGGTAGTTGCAGCACAAGAAGAGGTATGGATGAGCCAAGCTATCTCTTTACTCACATCTCGGTTGCTCGTGGAGATCTAATAATTTTCAGGGTCCATTCTTCTTCGGCGACACTCTAAGTCTTGTCGACATTCACTTTGCGCCGTTCGCGATCCGACTCTCGCGTGTGATCCAACCGTTGCGCGGATGGCTAGACCCTCTTCCTGACACACGATGGCACCGCTGGCTATCAGCGTTGGAAGGGAATGCGCATGTCAAAGCAACCATGAGTGGGAGAGAGTTGTATATTGAGACAACGGAGCTTCTCGCGCAGAAGCCGTCAATTGGGCCAGGCCGAACCGCATGAAATACCGGCCTAATAATCGAAACCGACCTTTCATATAATTGTACGGTATTAATCCTGGCCATCCAGCTGTGGCCTCGCCCCGTTGGACTCCCTAAGCCCAACGATTACCTTGACATTGGCTAAGCGACAACTTTACCGCCTGCACGGACATTCAAAAGAAGCAAACAAGCTCAGCTCCTGGTGCTAGGACCACGCAATTTGCCAGAGTCCAGCCCCCAAGAGAGAAAAAGCAAAAGCAACGGTTTCAAGAGCCTGAGCCGGACCATTCCCTCCCAGAGCCCTAGCCGAGCGTCTGACATTCCGTGACAGTGGCGCCGATGCCTGCATCAACCCATGCTCCCTCCCTGCGAGCCCAAGCGAAATGCGCAGCGATGGGACACCGGTCCATGTGGCTTGCTCCCTTCCCGGCGCATCCCGCGTCGCCCGAGGACGTTGGGATCCAACCTAAGAGATAGAGAGCAATCGCTTTTGCTCCCTGGATAATGCGCATTATGTGTGTTCCACCCTCCACGCAACCTTAACTATGTGCATCGCATCACCCCACCACTACTGCTGCAGCAATGTCTCTCTGGCTGGTCTGCGGCCGTTTTTTGTCCTGCAGCCTTGGCCGTTCCAAAGCAACCCTCGGCCGGTAAACCATCCCCTCCTTCCCATCTGCATACCGAAGGGGGCCTGCACACCCTCAGGGCTGAAGCAGTGCTCGGCAAGTGGCTGTCAATCAAGGAGGGGAGGGACCGCAAAGTCACATAAGATAGTGAATAACAGCGCATACTTTGATATTAAATATCTCATATTGCGCAAAAACACCAGATAAACAAATAACTCTTGCCACTCAAATTCTGCCCACGTTCTTAAGCTATTGCCTGTAAACATTCGCCGCCTCTGCCCAAATCGAGACGTGGAAAAAGGGCTCAACGCCACACACACACTCCAACTCTAGCGTTGGGTCGAAAGTATAAACCACACACACTTACCATACATGCATCCATACAAACATACCCCTCCCCGGACAATATCGCTTTCTTCGTCTCTCGCCTGCTGGAACCTATCAAGGTTAGGATACCGACCCAACCTTTTCTGATCCACAGGCACCGCTCTGGACTTTCAAGAGCAGGTGGTAGAATCCCCACCCGACCTCTTCTGCCGCCCATTACAGGGTTCCGCCATGCAGGGTGTGTCTTACGCGGGGAGGGGGGGGGCAATCGAGAAAGGGCCTTCCTGGTCAGACGAGTAGTACTTAATTATTCCCCCGTCGGTCGCATGCGAAGCGTTACTCAGGGGGTTTGTCATAAAAGAAAAAGATGAAAGAAAAATGAGATTTTCCGTGTTCATGGCAAACAATTTCCGGTCTGCCGGGATGGAAAGGGAAGTTTTGGAGGGATGGGTGTGATTCCGTTCTGAGAAGCGCCAGGAGGATGTTACGTTTGGAGCAATCGGCGACCACCGTGATGGGGCTCCTCATCGTGGGTAGGCGGCTTCCACGGCATGCACTTGGAGGCGGAGAAAGTAAGGCATATGCATCTTTATTTTCATGTATTATGTACATTTCTTTGTTCGCATTGCGACAATATTCTAACGGAAAATCTATCATGACAATTCATGGTCAAATATTCAAATGGTATCATTGACTGGTTGAGTCCAGTGACTCTTCTAGCGCTGCAATTGCAATCCTATGTACTGTGCGTTGTGCTGCGCGATCGTGTATGTGTATGTGTGTGTCTTTGTTTGGGCTAACAAGGCCCAATTCAATGCAAGCGTCGAGCCATATCATACCCGCTTTCGATACAACAGAAAGCTGATTGCCTGACTGCTACTCCAGCCCGAGTATGATTTCAGGCTCGGCGATGTGACAGCGAGTGGCAGCATTCAAAGACATGCCAATAGCGCCACCATGCTATTTTTTTTTCGGGTTTGAAAATCGATAATCTCCCCCGACGCCGTTTAGGGTCTCCTCACGCGTATACAGCTCCCCGTCGAGGCCCAAGAATGACAGATTCTTCAGAATCTGGAATGGGAAGAAAAAGGCCGCCCGAGAATCAAAAGCCAGCTGTGCAATGCAAAGTGGCAGTGCATTATTAACTGAGAGTGCACACTAGGGACCTTGCGTCGACTCCCCCGGGGACAAAAAATTGGGGAAGTGGAGGTCGCGGGCGCATCAGATGCCCATATTCACCGCATGGTAAAGCTCGAAATCCCATGCTTGCCTGCTTCAGTGGCAAAAAATGGGGTAGCCCTCGCTGGCTTTCCCTTGGGAGGAAGGCTAGCAGGCCTGGTCTCGATTGGCGGTGGCCGGACGCGGTATGGACTCTCGGAATAGTCGGACTCGACGTTCATGTGGACGCTGGCCGTGCATTAGAATTAGAAGAGAAAAAAGGACCCTGGGCCGGGGGGGCATCCGGGCCAGGGAAGAGCTTTCAGCGTGAGGAGAAGATAAGTGGAGGTGTTGCAGGATGTCACCGTAACTGGTGTGCGCCACACATCAGGTGCACAGCACAGCACAGTGTACCCATCCATTGCCCCGAAACACGATCAGTGTCCGCCACCCTCCTGGCATGCTACCGCCATTGCTAGGGCATCGAGGCCACTGCTTGGCGTCCTTGATGTAGACGGGCGGCCGAGGAGGGGTAGGTTGAGTTCGCGCATGTCCCATTTGCTGCTCGGTGAAGCTAGTGGGGTGGTAGGCAAGGGGTATTGGGCCGTCTCCCACTGTGCGGTAGAGTCCCGTAGCGTTGCTGACCGGCTTCGACCAGCAGCCGAGCTGCGTCGTGCTTCGACAATTGCGGCCTTGTGTGCGCGCTGGCTCGAGGATGATCGGCTCTTGTCCTTGTAGTGGGTTTCAAGGTGCTGCTTCATGTTGTCTGCGCGAGTAAACTTCTTCTGGCAGCCTGGGAAGGTGCATTGAACGGCCTTTTCCGCAGTGTGGATCTTGGAGTGACGGGAGGCATGTCCGGAAGTTGTAAATGTTTTCTCACAGCCATGACTGTCACGGTAGCGGCATGGGTAGCGCTTCCCGGGTCTCTCTGTGGGCGTAACGGGAGACACGTCGTCGTCGGCAAACGAGGGTGCTCTGCTCGAATCAGCGTACACCGGTCGCTTGGGTAGTGGTGCCTCCATGGAGTAATCCTGTCCATGGTAGATAGAGGTTCGAGGGAACGCATAATCAACCGAAGGCGTCATTGGAGAAATTGGATCAGTACTGGCTTGGGAGTCGTAAGAGTCGGAACGGAGGAGCTCGGGAATGTGAGGAGAGGAGGAACTGCTCCTGGACGACGGGCTGGGATGTGAGTATATCGAGCTGGTGGACTGGTAGCTCAAGGGACGATGTGACATTGGTCTTGAGATGCCATTGCTGTCGTCGTTTAATAACGAGACTTGGCGTCCGGCTGCGTCTCTCGCGTGCATTGTCGCGGTATTGTGTTGGGTAGGAAGAAAGTAAAGTTCTCCCAGTGAATTGAGGTGGGCAGATGCTCAAATAGTAGCTTGGGAGGAGGCAGTTCCGAAGCTCGAGCGTGGTGGCGTAGTGGGGAGAGACCGATTTGTCGAGAGCTTGGGGTGTGAAAGGTCTTGTGCCAGGTGTCTGGTTAAGGTTGTACCTGGTTGACTTGGATTGGTGTGGTTTTCTTTTCTTTTTCCTGGCTTTTTGGCTGACTTGGTCTTAGCCTTCCCGTCTGGTAAATTATCTGGCAGAAGGCGGTGGGCGTCGCAAATGGTGAATTCGGTCACTGACTCGTTCGAGGCTCGTGCACGCAAGGGAAAGCTGTGCTTTGTAATGGTCGAGACCGATTTTCTAAGCTGAGGCGACCCAAAACTAGACCTGGTTTGAGAATGCAATTGCTGTTGGAATTCCAAGCACGAAGGCGTCGCCAGATACTGAGCCTGCAGTGGCGCTTATTCTAGAAGCTTGAGAAATTGCTAAGGATGTTCTGAGACTTGACGGCAGCTATTTTGCGCATGGACTCTTGGGATGGAAGAGAGAGCAGGCTACTGAGGTCCGTAGGTACGGTGAGAGAGGAGGAGCTCATAAATGGACACTGGACTGGGGCAATTGAGCAGGCGGATCTGTCTCTCGTGGCGGAGCGAGGTCCAAGGAGCGCAACCAGGGGAGCAGGCCGGGATAGTTGGCAACGAGCGGATGGATATGGAGGAGGGTGTGTCTGCAGGCTAGCGATACAGGCAGAGGATATCCAAGAAAGAGGCGCTGAGTGACAAGGCGGCGAGGTCGGACAATTAGAAAAGGGTGAGGGTCTAGAGAAGATCTAGAAAGTCAGATAGATGGATGGTGGGCAGAAGATGGAGTTTTGAACAAATGGCAGGCTGCCGGGGCGCATAAAACAAGTCGTGCCTGGCTGGTCGCTTGCTTTGCGTTTTTCCTCGATCACCGATCGCACCAAGCGATCGACAGTCACTTGCTACTTACGTTCTTGGAGTGGCCTAAGAAAAGTCACAGGGCGGAGCCATCCCAGAGCCACTAGCAGCCCCTAGCTGTCGACCAACCCAGCAGCATACGGGGGGAGGGGGGTGTTAGGTAGCCCCAGAATCAAGAGGGAGAAGAGCTGGGCGGACCCTGGCGCATGGATGGGATTTGATCCGATTCTGCCAGGTGCCGCCACGCATTCTAGCGCAGCCAGTGAGGAGAGGTACCACACACAGCGTGGGAACAGGCCAAGGCACCGGGCCAGCTCCCACCCCTCCCCTTGGTGCCTCTGCCAAGGGTCGACGGCGAAGGGTGCAGGGACTGCTGGTGCTCAAGCAGGTAGGTGCCAGAGTGGGGTGCTGCTCTCCGTCGGCGTGGTGAGGCAGGTACGCAGCGCAGCACCTGCCGCCAGCCAGAAGGTAAGGTACCCTTCGAGCTACTGGGCCTGATCCTGTCCTGTCGCACCCTGCCATGACATCGACAACCTCCGTTCTCCGTTTGTTTTGGCCCTCGCAACCACACCACTTCTGGTTGGTGGTATGGCGGAATGTGAGCATGGGAACGCGGTTTTCGTCATGCTGTTTTCAAATCTCGATGTGATTTGAATGCGGTATACTACCTGCGAGATTGGGGGATCTCCGGTTTTTCGCCCGTGGTTGTCAGGGTTTTCCAACGGCCCTTGTCCAGCGGTATTGTGGTTCAGCCGCCTCTGTTAAGCGCTAATACCCGATCTTTCACGACGCCATCAGCTCCGTCTGCCCATTCTCCTTCTTTCCTCCTCTCTTTGTGCCTGCCAGCGATGCCATGCCCTGCATAGGCTCAGACGCTGCCGTGATCTTTCTGTCTCGATAAGGCAGACCACAGATAGGGCGATATTCCCAAGCTGACATATAACAACACACTCAAGTGGCGGGGAGAAGACGACTTTCGCAGGGATGATGGGCTTTTGGCGGTCACCCCCCTCCCCGCGGATATCAGGTGGGGTTTGTCCCTTCTGTGTCTTGCCCTTCCCATATTTACTCCACTTGCTGCCCTGGCCTGGCGCAGACCCCACTCCAAAGCTGCGAGCTTCTGATCTCACGAGCAAATCTCGATCGTGAGCTTTGCTCCTCCGGCTCACTTTGGCGCACAGCACCCAAAGCCTCGCAGGTCCCTGAGACGAGGCCAGAATCAAGGCATGCCCCCGACTGGATCTCAACAGTGCCCTAAGGCCCCGTCTCCCGAAAGCCAAGATAGCCCACCCTCAGTGACGTCAGTGACGAGATTGCTCACGATGCTAATTAAGCAGAAACTCGCCCCTCTCTCGCCTCAAAGGGGCTCAAAGGGGCTCAATTTCGCACATACGTTCTAGAACGGCTCATGCGTACAAGAAGTTGGAGGAGGGTAGGGAGCCAAGGGGAATTGTTGCGGCTCCGGCATGTCAACCATTGAGTTTGGGGAATGTCCCGTCCCTTGCCCGTGTACCAGTGAACCTACCGAGGCCTCCTACATCATCCCGCCAGCCAGAGTCTTTGGCACGAACGACGCCTCGACCCCACACTCTATCGTTTCTGTCAGAATGCACCTACATTGATGGCTAATTTCTCCCTAGTGGCAGCCATCGAGGAAGGTTCTTCCTTTTGGAGCTACCCTGAGCTAAAAGAAAGCGCAACCAGCCCTCTGTAAGTATTAATGCTTTTGCTAACAAGTCTGAGTTAGCGTCATGCCTCTTCAAAGCCAATGCACGGAGCTCTCCCCGCGCAACCCATATCCCTGCAGATGCCAGGCTGGGCTGTCATCCTGATGACAAGACAACTGCCTTGAGCCCCGTTAGTTTCTACATCTGGTCGGTGACCGCTAGATACATTCATCTCTAACTTGGGAAAACAGTTGAGCCCACAATGGAATTCATCCTGCTTTCGCGCTTCGTTCCTTCTCAAACTACGCTTGATTAGTGCATGAAGTCCTCCAAAACCGGCGGGTGCGTCTGCCCCACAGCTTACAAGAACGCCCCGGCCTATCCGTCAGCAGCTACGTAATGCATCGGAGACACAATTAATGTGCATACCGACCGTCTGGCAATGGACAAAGCATCCCAAGTAAGGGACAAAGCAAGGGATTCGACATGCGTTTTCAAAAAGGGGGAGGGGGATTAAATGGATCGAGATCCGGATTCGCGCATCGAGGACTTGCATTCTGCCATTAGAGACAATTCCATCGTCAATGATCATGTGGCTACACGGAAGCAAAAAGCACACGCTACACCAGTAGCTGGCATTTGCGACCAAAGTCAAACAGGGTCCAGGAAGACGCAAGAAGGAGGGATCGGGACCAGGGTGCTAACGTCCCAAGGGTCGCAGCAGGGGTTCAGGTTCAGGGTCTCCCAGAAAATATTGTGATCAGCCAATGATCGAGTTTTGCCGATTGACGTCCTGGATAGCAGCGTTACTGGCCCGCGGGGTGGGGCAGAGAAAGAGTGCCCTCTAATTACTCACCCAGACACTCATCTAGGCAACAAACCGCCCTGAGAAGAACCACAAAACACAATAGAAGAGCGCGGATACTGGATAAAATACAACAGACAGACACCTTGGAGCTGGCCGGCAACGCCTCGATGCGCTGTCGAGGTGTGTCTCGCGGATATAAACATGATACAGTGCTTACCTCTTCCGGCTCAAGAAGGTGAGGAGAGCTTCGGTTACATGTATGCTCGAGCTACCCCATTGCTTCTTCACCGGTGTAGCCCCCCTGACAGTTCGGGAAGGTGATGCTGAGTTGGTGTGCGGCCACCACCCAGAACTGCGACTCCAGAAGCTGCATTTGGTTGCTGCAGACCAGCCAGCACATGCCAGCTAGGAAGATTTGGGCATTATGACTAGCTGCTAATAATACAGGCCGATTTTCTTCGGCAACCAAACCTTGCGACGGAGGGGCAATAAATTTAGGTGAGTGGCGTGCCAGGGAAGCTCCCCATGGTCCTTGATCCCCTCAACTCCATGTTTTGCAGGGTTTCTCGGACATTGAAGCCGGGAACAGATAACTCTCTCTCAGCGGGAAGCCGTACCGGATTGCTGTGGCCTGTGTAGGTGCTGGTGTGGGAGACCTAACATGCAATAGCTGTGGCCTGGGGCCGCACCCATGCACTCGGCTACACCAGGGCATGCGCTGGGGTATCTAACAACGACGTCACAATTACATGTCACCCAATTTTTATCGTAGCATTTTTATTAGAAGCCGAGGAGCGAGGGCACAAGAGAGAAAATACTAACAATACTAGCACGCGGCCATGCATCAGTAGCCAGCTGCGCGGCCTTTTCCACAAGCAAATGGGAATTGGGAACAGTTATTAGATGGGTCGGCAGGTGAAAACATACGAGAGACCGAAGACGCCCGCGGATCCACCCGCGTGGCAGACCGTGGTGGGTGAGTAGGCGGGTGACGATGGCCACCGCTGGCTCACCTTGGATATGAAGCGATTGGAGCGGAGCAAAACTACCGCGCAGGTGTTTCGCTAGAGGTGGTGATATCGCTACTCCCTATGACATATGATCTTCATCTCCCGGCGCATCGGTCTGCCTGACCAAGGAAGAAAAATTTGTTGCTGGCCCGTATGGAAGGCGGAGGAAGGGGCAAGCAACAACAGCAGACCCCGATGCGCTGGTGGGAAACAACGATCATGGCTGCGGATCGGGATGTTGACACTGGTGGATGGTCCCTGACGATCGAAAGTTTAGGCGGCATCGACTTTGGCTCTGGGAACGGGTCTGGCTAACCTCTCTTGTGGTAAGGCACCGCGTGGGGCGGCCTGGGGATCCATGCCCGAGCACCCTGGGCAGGCCCTACAGGGAGGTTCAGGGCATTGCAGTCCTGGGGCGCGGCGCTGCCCGGTCTTGGCTTGATGGCGCACGCCGCTTTCGCTGCACGTCAGCCGTGGCCAACCCAAAGTTGGGTTCTTCTAGCTCAATTCGCGCTGGAATTACTTTGATTTCTTCCCAGATCATGGCTTGGG